TTAGCACTAGCGCTCCCCACTAACGAGGCATAATGGTGGAGAAATGGCAGCCGAGCCAGAGCTCTTCATTAAACGCTGCAAATTTCCACATTACTGCTCCGACCCACAGTACGCCTGAGCCGGGACGAGGACTTTTAAACGCTAACATACTTCAGGGATTGACTGCTGAAGTAGTGAGCCTTTAGTTTCCTACGTGCTCATTTCCTTGATGAGATCAGCGCTGCAGGTCTGAGCCAGGTTTCACCTTCAGCGTTGAAAAATCACCTTGTCATCGATAAAGGGTACTGGGATGTGCGTTACTCCATATCTCAATTCAAGAGGCATATGGTTGTAATTGTGATCTTGTCTAATGATACATCCCTGCTCTCATGTCCTCAGTGGATCATACAGAAAGAGAGATAGATAGAGAGATTTGTTAATGAGCAGCTGGTCCTGTCCTTCTAGTTGAATGCGAAATGGAGAAATGGCGAGGGATTTGTCCAGATATTTCTACAATGAATCACACGTTAGTTTTCCGAGTTTCATGGGGTACTAGGGGATAAAAAAGATCTCTCTTTTTTTTTTACTCTGCACATGGATTCAATCCAGTCCAAAAGCACCTCAACACACACTGCTGTTCAGAGAAAAGACATCAACCGTGATGCAAACTGTCTTTCCCAGCTTTGCATTTTTATGCAGAGTTTATCTCTCTTTCTGTCTGTCCCTTTGTCCCAGACCGAATTCTTTCACCCCGGAGTCAGAAATGTCATTAAAGAATAAAAAGGGTATGAAGCGCCTCGTCCACGTCTTTGTCTTCTCTACAGAGGCTTCAGGTTCACTTCATTAACCTGAGCGGGACTCATTTAGACAGCACAGCATGAATACACAACAGAGAGCACACACAAAACCGCACACAGTGCGTGACGGTACACTGTGTACAAACTAAGTTATGTACACCTCAGGGGACTCCATCTTTTTCTCCTTACTTCTCTTTCTCCTTCTCTTGTTCGCCCTCTTTTTCTTTCAGAAACCACTGACCCCTGTAACATCCAATCATGCCACTGGATGGGCTTTCCCATTTGCTGCCATAACGCCTGGCTACACACGTCTCTGAGCGGCCGTCGCCACAACAACCCGCAAGTCTTGGGCAATGGCGGGAAACGCGCCTGCCGTGACTTCCCTCTTTACAGCCGAACGGGGAAATGCGTTCCCGGATTTACTGCTCTCGCGTATGAGCTTTACTTCAGCTCTGACAGAGACAGGCTGGGTGATTGATGCGTTTTTAAAGCATGTCTGATTTCACATACTGGAGTCATAAGCAAGCTTTGGCTTTACTCCACGTCTGGGATCATGCAGCCCTATGCATCATGTTCCTACCTCCTTTTTAAAATGACACTGTGGTTTAATATCAAGCCCACAGAGCGCAGGATTCGTTGGAAACATCTGATGTCTCTTTTCGGGTAAAGAGCAATCAGAGACAGATGAGGCACTGAGCAGTAACACCTTTTTTTTGCATTTCTCAATGTGTGCATTTGGCTGCATCTCAAATTCTAGTGTTGGACAGAAGGCAGCTTATTAAGACCGGGACACAGTCAATAGAATCTACGTCACAAGATGAGATGCTAGGAGAGCTGACTTTGCACTTCTGCAATACATTCGGTATCAGACTGCTTGCTAACTATAAACCTCACAGAGCGCACTGATGCCAAACACACATGTCCTCTGGCTATAATATAGAAAATGTTATCCATATGTTGATATTATTATTTTTTTAAACAGGAAGTCAGAGCAGCGGCCAATACCATTCAAGATCCGCCACACCCCTGCCAAATCTAACCACACTAGCAAAATATGGACAGCGGAGTAGAGTCTAACAAGAGCTGTCGAGGATTTCTCAAAGCCACTTTTTGACTTTAACAAGAAAATTATCCTAGACGATGAGAAGCAGTGTGTTTTTGGAGTTTGCTGTACAAGTTTGAGCCAAGCGTCTGAGATAGCAAGTTGGTAAAACATGTACTTTCTAGAAAGCATTTCATTGGACAAACACAAGACTAGTACAGGATGAGTCAGCAAAAAATGTTCAAAGTTTTCCTGTAAGTGACAAACTATAAAATTAAAATCAAAACTATTTCTTTTTTAGATATACTATCAGACAGGTGTCTATGACACTAAGGGACAGGTACAAAAACCTCAGAAACACCCATTTTTTATTTCATGGGTACTTTAAATCCATGTATACTCGCCATGCATGATGGGAAGCCTTTAGTCACTGTATAATGATTTCTATTGGACTGTTTCTTAAAAAGGCCAACGTTCTACTAAGAACACTAAAGAGTTATAACTTCTGGAATTTGGGAGAGATACGGACACATTTTTTACAAAAAATGCTCTCCATATTTGTTTTTGTTTGCAAGTGCAAGGGTATTATGGGTAATCTGAGAGAAATGATCCTTGAAAAAATGAGAGTTTAGAGAGGAATGTGTGTAAACATGTAAACACACACACACACACACACACACACTGGTCATTGCCCACGCTAAATATGTCATCAGAATTTGGAATTAAATCTTTTCCACTGGCCAATTCTCTTCCCTGCGCTCTACCAGTTTTTTCACTTATGTGTGTAAACAAACACACACACACTCTCTCTCTATCTCTCTCTTCTGTCCAGCTAATTACACCAGGAGCTGCGGGGGAGGACTGCTGGTTAATTACCACCAAGCCTAACAATCTCTTCTTCTTTTGTTTAGACTTGCAAATGTGCTCACACAAACGGCTTCATAATCTCCGGCGCGCACACGACCCGCTGCGCTGCCTCGACACCTTCCAAAACCCTCTGACGGACTGAAGGAAAGGAAATAAATAAAGCGCCCATTTTATCCCCTTCCACCCCTGAAATGGTCAGCTGGAAGGAGCTGGAGATATCGTCCCATGTCCTCTAAAGGACTTAAGACTTGCAGCTTGAGCTCTCTTTATCTGATGCAGGCCAGAGGAATTAAAAGTCGCTGTCTAAGCATTGACATTAATTCCTGCATTCAGTGAGGAGAGACAGAGAGAGAGAGAACGAGAGAGAGACAGAGAGAGTGAAAAGGGGTTTTCAATTGAAAGAGGGTCTGCTGGGAGCACTAATTAACTTCTGCTTTTAATTCCTGCCTAATCCAGTCTTCTTTTTGTCACTTTTCTCATGCAAGTTTGTTCCATTTCTCCTCTCTCTCTCTCTCTCTCTTTCTCTCTCTCCCTCTCTCTTATTCTCTCTCTTGTAGACTACACTGGTGTCTATATGATAAGTGGTGTCTTGTATCAGGCTTTCCAATCTATATCTCAGCACATCTCAGACATCCATTAAAAGTTATAAGAATGAAGGATGATGCAGTAAAAGAATGGACAGAAGGAGTGGACACAGGGACACAGACAGGAAGGTGGGGATTATAAGAAAGAGAAACAATAATAAGTGAGAAAAATGAAAAGATGGCAAGATGTGAAGCGAGGATGCGTTCTTCCCGAAAAATCTTGTGTGTTATGTCTGAAACTTACTTTACCTGGCAACGTGTAAAGTATGACTTTTTTTATCACATACAAATGGAGTTAAAGAGGATCATGGGAAGTCAAAAAAGCAAAAAAAAAAGGTGGAGCTGTGGGAAGTCTGGTTAATTAAAACTTCCACAAGTATAGCCAGTGCTGAAAGGTTTTTCGTTTTTTCGTTTAATTTTCATCTTTTTACTGATCTTGTTTTGTCCTAAGCCTCCTCATGTATATACATCTGGGCCAGAGAGGGGAAAGAATAAAAAAGGAAAGAGAGGTGTGGAGAGAGGAGAGGTGGTTGGAGGTGAGACAAATGGACAGAACAAAGAGGAATAAAAAGAGTGTGGAGAAACGCTAAGGTGACAGTCTAAAATTCAAAAACAAGTGAAAGACATTTAATCAAACCATTTTGTTCTTTGTTAAAATGTCTTTCACTTGTTTTTGAATTTTACATTCATACAAATTTTATTGGCACCCCTGATCACACACACATCTGCCTGTCCCAGTTAGGATGCTTCTGGAGGCTTGCTTAGCTAAAATTTGATAAGGTGTTTATTTAGGAGCTTGTAAATCATTAAAACTGGTAAATTTAAGTGACTGTCATAAACAAAAAGCATAATGACTATTCAATACTAGTCAATATACATGCTAAATAGAGCTAGTAAATATTGCAGCATGGTGCACATGAATAAAATGGAAATTTTGGAGAAAAGTTTTTAATGATGCTGAATCTCAAGCTGTGGGATGTGAAATTCTGTGTGTGTGTGTGGGGCTGTTGTCATTGGTCGTACCTGCAGTGCACCACCATAGGCCCAGCATCTGGAGGGTTACAGGCTTTAACCCTGCGCAGAAAGGCCAGGAATGGTGTGGGGTGTTCAGGAACGCCGTGATCAGGCCACGCTGTGAACTGGAACTGCCTCACCTCCCGCTTCTCACTACAGCCACTCTGCATTAAACACGCACACACACACACACACACACACACACACACACACACACACACACACACACACACTCAGACCAAAACTCTAGAGAACAATGTTAAGTTTACTAGAGAAGATTTTATCAGTTTAGAATGATTGTGTATGATAGTCAATTTTAATGTGTTTTAATAGGTTGTGGTTTCACATGTTTTTGTTAGATTTTTGTGGGTTTTTGTTTGTGTAGTGTAGGAAACTTGGATCTTGAGGAATGTTTGTGTTTAATGTTGGTTAACATTGGTGTGTGTGTGTGTGTGTGTGTGTGCGTGCATGTGTGTGTGTTTTGGAGAATGATAGGATGCTGGGGAATGCTGGTGTTTGATATTAAATGTTGATTTTTTTTGGCTAATATTGTATTGGTGTGTGGGTTGAAGGATGACAGTGTGTTGGTTATATTGATGTTTGATGGTCATTATGGGTGTGTGTGTGTGGTTTGAAAAAATGCTAGTGTGTTGGGGAATGTTGGTGTTTGATGGTTAAAGTTGATTTATGTTGGTTAATATAGGTGTGTGTCTAGGGTCCCTAGAGGGCTAGTAGTTAGGCCTTGGTGCTCTCACCACTGTGGCCCAGGTTCGATTCCCGGACGGGGAACCAACCCCAGCAACTGGGGTTACACACGGCAGTGCACTCCCAGTGCCGGGCCTAAGCCCGGATAAAATTGGGGAGAGTTGCGTCAGGAAGGGTATCCGGCGAAAAAACTGTGCCAAATCATATATGCGGACCAATGATCCGCTGTGGCGACCCCTAACGGGAACAGCCGAAAGAACAGCAACAACAATATAGGTGTGTGTGTGTGTGTGTGTGTGTGCGTGTGTGTGTTATGGAGAATGCTAGTGTGCTGGAAAATGCTGGTGTTTGATGGTTAATGTAGATTTTGTTGGTTAATATTGGTTTGTGTTATGGAGAATGCTTGTGTGTTGAGGAATATTGATGTTTGAAGGTTAATGTTGATTTCTTGGTTTAATATCGGTATGTGTGTTTTGGAGTATGTTATTGTGTTGGGGAATGTTGGTGGGTTTGAGAGTATTGCTGTTTGATGGTTAATGTAGGTCTTTTATGGAGTATGTTGGTGTTTAAGGGAATATGTGGGTGTGTGTTGGTACATGCTAGTGTTTTATCAGTATAGTTTGATGTTTCAAAATCATTCATTTTTGTTGTTCATTATTTTACATTTTGTTGTTGACTTACTTTATAAAGTGCGAACGTCCTGACGCAGTAGGTGGCCAGCTCAACTGTGTCCAGCAGCGTCACCTGGATCAGGCCATATGTTTCTGATCCCCTGTTGGGCCAGTACTGGTCACACTTTACCTGCAAACACACACACAATTATCTCAGAGTACAAACACAGGTCAGCCAAAGCTATGCTACAATCACACATGGAGTTCAGCCAAAACGATGGAACAAATCCACACAATTACCTCAACTTATAATCAAATGTATACGACAATCACGTATTATAAGCCACATACAAACATCTGAATATGGTCAGATCTACCATATAAACACACAACTCGCCTCAAAGATTTATTCTTTAAGCACAGTTTGGCCAAATCCACTCTATATATGCATGTGTTTACCTCAGAGTATGGTTAAATTTGTTATAGAAACGACATTTGGGCCGCAAACACTTTTGGTTACCTCAGAGTTTAGTGCTTCAGTACAACTACAGGTCAGCTAATGCTAAATCCACATTACGAAAACACAGGATTACCTCAGAGTTTGAACAGAGTTCAGCCCAAATTATGCTACAATCAGGCAGGATTACCTCAGAATTCAGTTAAAACAATATTTAAGTTACAGATTTGGTGTAAAAGTAATTGTGTACTGAGGATAAATCCTTTAGACGTCGCCATTTGGCACAGGAAGATGATTTGAAAGGAAACACCGAACAAAAGGACACTACTGACATCAGGCCATTTGTTCCATTTTCTGCTGACTCCTTATTTCGCAACAGTGCTGAAACTGGCAGAGGCACTAAAGCAGACAGCGCTTTTTCTTAGCCTGACAGACGCTATAATTACCAACCTAACTACATTTTTTTCCAATCACATTATGGCCTAGGCTTTATTATGATTACACACTATTGTATCCCAGCAAGTGCCCAATAAAACATTGTTCCATTACAGTACGGTTGCTGCCTCGCCAAAATGAGAGACACAGACGCTCGGAGTCTTGGAGTGGTGAGTACATGGCTCATGGTACTGCGCTAATAAAAGGAAAGGTGCCCATTGATTATAGAGGAGACTAACAGCACATTTGTAAGTGTTCATAAATTGTTCCATATTGTAAAATAAAGCAGAGAGCAAGAAGGCGTGCAGTTTTTGACACCTTTCTTTAGGACAGGACACTGCTGTGTAGTCAGTCCATTAATTCTGAAAGATAACACAATTGAACTCTTGGAACTTGTGGCTTTCACACAACAACTGGTTAAAGTTGTGACAATATTGTTGCTATGCAAATGGGAAACATATATTTAGTATTTACATTAAGACTGAGGATATAGTTTTAGCAAGGTACAATCATTTATTACCATAGGCATTATCATAGGCACAGTGTCAGAAAAAACAACACAAAATTATCAGGAATATCAACATTTTCCTCATATGTGTAGGTAAATTACTAAAAAAAAGACTCCATATGACTATAATTGGTGCGATTACACTTAGCATGGAACACTAACCAAACTTCAGTGGGTTCTGCCCTATTGATAAACATCAAGAATGTGCCAAATTTGAGGTCCACTAACATAACGTTTAGTCTGTTCTAACACCACAGTGAAATGTTTCACAAAATCACAGGGTCTAGATATCATGACTCAGCAAACTTAACATCTTGTTTGAGAACAGCACACATGATAGTGCTAAACTAGCATTCCTCTGCTCATGTAAAAGCAAGAGCTAGCAAGCTGCCAAATTATACTACAATAATAATGCTGCCAAATCAAAGCTCAAAATCAAAATGGCAGACAAACATGTCAGTAAAGCAATGAAAAAAATGGCAGTTTGTAAAACATGATGCGGAGCGTCTTGCCTTGGAGAAGAAATATGAAGGCATCTGAAGAAAAAAAGCAACACAACAAAAGAAGGAAAAGAAGAAAACAAAATGACAGAAAAGAAAAATGAAGTTTGTGAGCTCTATAGCCCTGACTAAAACTGATGAGTTTTCTGACTCCCATGAATTTTATTTCTTATATATTTCCACGTTAGCCTGACTTACCCTTGAGCGTTCCTCCAGCTTGGTCATCATGACGATGTTAGCGCTGCGCTGCTCCCAGATCATCCTCCAGAAATCACCAAAGGTCTCGGGCAGTGAGCCCTGAGTGGCGATGTATGCATTCTGCTTTCTGTAACCGTCAATATAGTTGGCGTTGATGTAGTCGCTCCCTGGAATGCCTGTGCAGGAAAGATCGAGTTAGCTGGCTGGCTAAGTTTAGGAGGATTAGCGCTGGAATTGAATTCTGATTTAGGTTTCCATTTCTATGCAGATTGTTCAGGTCACACGATCAGTGTTCCTGCTGGATTCTGTTAATCTCCTGATTGTTGGCTTTAAAATGGCAAGCTGAGGCGACTGAATGAGTGAGTGGTAATTGAATGACAACTGTGATAATTGAATTGAATGTATGTGTATGTGTGTGTGTGTGTGTGTGTGTGTGGGAAATTTTGTAAAATGTTTTTAAAAAATGACATTTCATCCTTTTTTTATCCATTTATAGTTACATATAAAGTTGTCTTAAACAATTCATTCCCTCACCAGCCCTTTTTTTTCCTCTCTCTCTCGAATGATCATGACCAAAATTCAGCTTGCCATGTCACAGAGAAACGACAAAGTGCAGCTTTTCTTCTGAATGTTACAAGGCGCTGACACTGGAGACTCCTTCCAAAAATACTGCATAAACATCTCCTTACAGAAAACTTCACCACATCAACAATTACACACGTTAAAAATCCACTTATATACAGTGTCCATCATACAATTCTGTGAAATGTGAGTTAGGTAAGTTAATGAAATATGTTTGAGGGTATTTATTTGTGTTTGTGAGACTGTGCATGTGAGAATGTGTGAGCTTGTGTGACTGTGAGTGAGTGAATAATTGAAGAAATGAGCGAGTGAGTGATTGCACGAGTGAGTGATTGCGACATTAAACTCTTCAGTTTCGGTTGCTGGCGGCCGTCAGAGCGAATCTGCGTGTAGATGGACGGCTTCCTGCTGTGATGCCTGTACTGCTTCACGCTAATGCGGAGTGAGCGTTTAATGCTGAGCGCATTTTTTTGGCTGAGCTTCAGGCTGCATGGTTTTATAAACCCACCCGGAGTGGCAGGGCAGCTAAAACCGTGCCAAACTCGCGTAATCCATCTTCCTCTCTTTCCTATCTTTTCCTCTAACTGCACTTTAGACCGGGTTCCTGTGACACACCACTGTCAGTCAAAGTTATCTGTGCGGACATCCAAATACTCACTATTTAACTGTTCAGAGTAAAATACTATTTTTTACAGGTGCTAAAATATTTTTCACACACTTCTCACTAAAATATTTATTAAGCAAATGGAAATAAGTGATGGTTCGAGGGAAAGGAGGAGAGAGAATGCTTTTTTCCCTCCACCTCTCGCTTGATCTCTCTAAATGAAAGCCGTGTGGTCTTTTCCACAAGGTTGACAGCTAGTCGATGCTGGAGGACTGGAGGCCCAGAGCTTCGTGAAACACATGCTGCAGCGAGATAAAGCTCATCTGTCTGCAGCGTTCGCTTCCAGGACTCCCCCGCTCTCTCTTTCTCCCTCCCTCTCTCTCTCTCTCTCTCCCAGGTAAATTATTCAGCTGAATTTAAAAAAAAAAAACAGGATATAAGCTCTTTCTGAGCTTTCTCTCCATCCATGCTACTCGTTTTATTCTAATCCTCCTCTCTTCGTTGGAGCTGTCTGCTCAGGATTATGGACAATGGATAAAGACAATTAAGCTCGCTTTTCTCTTGCCTTCTCTTTTCGAACTGTAATGAAACATTGCCAATAAAACAATAGGATGTCTAGCATAAATTAGCAGTGGGAAAGTATGAGGGGCAAAACTGAACCGTCTGGCACGTCAGTCAGGATTTACTTAAAAAAAAAAAATTATAATCATATAATAAGTGTATTACAAAGTCTGAGCCAAACTTTAGCTTTTAAAATATATTACATTCCCGCAGCAGTTGATGAAATTAAATACATATTCCACCTCTTATATATTAAACCCCTGTGGAACCTTATCTTGATTAAGCTCAAGTCTGCGAATTATGGATGACTGATTTCCAACGTTATGCTTTTCAGGTTGCAGAACATTTGATTTTTCCATTATGGGTGGACAAAATATGATTTAGTAAAATACAAAAGCAATTTTGCAACTGTTCACATTTTCCTTGTGTGTACTGTGTGTCCTCTGAGCATCCCATGCTAATTTAATTCTTTCGATAGGTGATTTTTATTTTCTGTAAGCTCTCAGAATAAATTAATGATTCAATTACAACAGGAAGTTAACCTGTAAAGTATTAGTTGTCCTTGTTTCCTGCAGATAGTGTCATCATAAAATCTATAACGTAATCTTTTTAACAATTATAGAAAAAA